CTACACAAATTTGAAACTTTAAATTAATTTGAATTAATGCTTTTCCAAATTCCTTTAACTCAATTTAGGAATAAATCAATTTGCACTAATCTGAAAGAAATCAGTTCAATACAATTTTTAGTTTAAATAATCTGAATTAATTTTTTCAGGCTTATCGTAGTTAATGTCCTACCAAATTAATTTAAACGAATTTGGAATTAATTTGGAAAAGCATTAATTCAACCTAATTTTAAATAAAAAATTCGTTGGAACTAATTTGGATTCAAACCAATTCAAATCGGTTTACATGGAAATTAGTTTACATTAACTTTTGATTAAAAATTGATTTAAACAAATTTGAGATTAATTTGCATTAATTTTTTTGTAATTGTTTACATTAATCTTACATTAATTAATTCGTTCAGATTAATTTTTGATTTGAAATTAATTTTAGCAAATGTTTTCTAAATCAATTTAAATGAATTAGTTATTACAAATTGATTTAAATTAATTTACGAAGAGAACTTAATAGAAATTAATTTTGTCTAAAGCACTTGAAAAGAAATTTGAAACTACAAATTAATTTAAACTAATTTTCAATACCAAATTGATGTATATTATTTTTTGTTAAATCGGTTGGAAGGAATTTTTGATTGAAAATTGATTTAAATTAATTTCGAACAACAAACCCATTTAGATTGGTTTAAAGAAAACTAATATACATTAATTTGGTACGGGAAATCAGTTTAGATTAATTTGTAATTTCGAATTTCATTGAAGTGCTTTAAACAAAATTAATTTCTGTTAATTTAAATCAATTTGTAATAACTAATTCATTTAGATTGATTTGGAAATGGGGACCCCACTCAGAAAAATAAATTTTTGTCCAAAAAATTGATTTTAAGATTTATATATTGTTGAAGAGTCCAAAGTGTCATCTTTCCAACGCACTAATTTTTATGCCTTGAAAAATGGCTTTTGATGGTCTTCTAAAGGCCTTAAGTTAAAAAAAATTAGTTTTTTATTGAAATATCGTTGCATATGCAGAGCTTCAGGAATACTAAGAAATTTATTTCTCCTGATCATAATTACCCCAGGCTATTCTATATAAACTATATACAGCAAAACTAGTATAAAATTAATGTTCTATAACAGAGGAATAATTGTGGAATACAGGAACAGCGGAATAGCGACCGGATTATATTTTGAAACGTCTCCTAACTGTAAATTAAAACGTATGACCTCTTCCGGTCAATCAAAGAGATATAATTTATATATGACGACTTACCATTACTGCTAAAGCGTAATAACCATTATTCACCGTTCCCGTAATTTGAATTGTACAATTTGGGTATAACACTGTACCGGCTGGTAATGAAGTGGGAGGACACGCTTCACCGCACTCAGTTGAGCCCGTAGCCCATCGGCATTTGAGAGTGTCGCCCGTATTAGCATCGGATGCCGGTATTGTAATAGTTTTTTTAACATTGTTTTGTATGTTTAACGGTGACATCATATTGGCGACAGGTGCAGTATTATAATAACCATCTGGTCTCAAATTTAAATCAATATTACACGATAATGACCAAGTTGGATAACTGGGCAGTCCGACTAACGAGATCCAAGATACAGGCGAAGTTGATGTAAAAGCAACTGTAAAATCATCATTTACATATAATAATTCTGTATCCGAACGTTGACCAATATTTGTACCCACTACAGGATTTGTATCGGTACAGTAGGGTATAACAGGTGTACTTTTATTATACCCTTGAGCATTTCCTCCAGATCCATAATTACAAGTACCAGTACAACTTAATGTTTGTGTTAATAAAGGTGTATAATAACTGGAAGACGAAACATCAATTAATGAATGACTTGTTATCATTGCATTTGTACAATATATTTTGGAAGCGCTCCACGAGTACGTTTGAGTAATGATAATTTGAACTGGACTCCCAGTAGCTGTTAAATTTTCAGGTCGCCATCTTATTGTGCCACCGTTGAAATGGTCAGCAAGTATCAAATCGAGAACAAAAACAAGAAGAAGGGACGTTTTTATCATCTGATGTATAATACTAGAAGAACAATGACTGTTTTAGTTTTCAACTGGTGTAGAGTGTGTTCGAGTTAAATCTACACAAAGAAAATACTCTTATACCCCTTCAGATAAATAGATTTATTAATACAGAATTTATCAATACGGAATTTGTGTGCTTCGGTAATTATTAATGTAATTATAATAAAAATGTGATAATACTTAGAATGAAGTCGATGTAAAAAACAAATGGCTTATTAAAATACAAATAAGATGCAAACAGAGTTGATTAAATAATGGAATTCATCATCATGTATTGCATTCATCCTTTCACTATTGAAATTTTTTTATTGAAATTATCTGCTTTTTCAACTTTATTATTTGTAGTGTCTCACATGCTCCAATGTTCTATACATTGTATGAAACCCAAAAGCAATACGATCGATTGTTGAACTACTCGATGTTGCTAATAGTAATGCTGTTAACATTGATGCAAGGCATATAGCGAGGTCATACTTTAAGAACGAGAACGAGTAAAATGCTAAAACTTGTAAAACCAATGCGGCTATCATGTTCAGAATTTTAATAAAAAGTTTTAATCAAATAATAAAACTAAAAATTAAACAATTAAAACTAAAACATTAAAATTATAATTCGATATTTCGACCTATTAATACGGTCATTTTCAAGTTTCTCCTCGTATAGGATGTTTGTTTAATTTTTAATTTTAATTTTTTATTATTTGATTAAAACTTT